CATCCCACAATCTAAAATTGACGAGATGATTCTCACGATGCCCCAAAGGATCAACAAATTCCACGAAGCGAAAGGAAGATCTATTAGATATTAATTAAATGATAAATATATCAATTCATGTGAATATGACTGAAAGTTTTCATTTTTTCTGTAAAGGTGGTGTCTATTTACTTGTGACCACGCTGTATATAGTGGCGAAGTAGTTTTATAACATATTGATTATTTAGTTTCTGCATTGTCATAGTGGCAACACATGGTCCAAAGTGTCTAATATTTTGTTCTAGCTACTTAAGTCATTTTTCTATTGATAGATGACGTTTTCTGCCTGTGGGGATATTTCAATATATTTTGAACTTAGGTTAAAACTAATTAGAACTCTAATATACTATGCTGACCGAAGTATGGCATAAACTGAATCTGATAGCTGACCAATGCTGTCAGGGAAGAGATGTCGCGAGGTAATGCTGGTTACTATAAAAAAACAAAACAAGTTGATGTTTGGAATCCAGGTACTTTCTTTGTATCAGTTTGCTTCCAGTTTTGAGAAGAAAAAAGACCTTTTAGAGTATATTTAGCATTTAGTATAACTTGGATTGAGAACTGTCTGTCAATGCACATGGGTACGCATTTTAAACTATTATTTCTTTTCTGGATAAATTTTTTTTTCAAGAGTTTGTCCAGCCTGTTCATTTTCACACAAAATTAACATTCATTTCAAATACTTTTAATAACAAGAAGTGTCATAATTTTTCCTAGTAAAGATTTTGTTGTTATTGCAGATAACTATCTGGTACACGTTGGAAAATCGGGTTTTAGCTGAAAATACCAAACACTGCCATGGATTTACTCTACTTTTGATACTCTGTCTGGATCAAAGTGTTTTTCAACATTGGATCTTAAGAGTGAATATTGGCAAGTACAAATCAACAGAGTAAGTAGAGAGAAGACAGCCTTTACCACAGGAAATGGATTATGGCAATTTGTCATGTTACCATTTGGATTATGTAATGCTCCTG